CTAATGATGTGTTCAAGATGTCTGTGAAGACCTTTGAGTTCCACAGCATAGTCCGTCAGTGCTCGTCCAAGGATGTTATCAGGACCTGGAGCTTTGCTTGTATTGATTTTGGCAAGAGATCTCCACACACTGTCTGGGGATTGTATCACCACGGTCTGCAGAGTGGGCTTGTAGTCTGTGATGGTTTGTATTCCTTGTCACTGCCTCTGAGTATCTCTGCTATCGCTGAAGCTTTGCAAAATCCTCCTGGATTACTGCCTTTTCATCTCTGATGCCACGTGACAGGTTTGCCCTTGCTGTTCTTAGGCTCACCTAATCCTCGGCTCTGAAGGCTGCATTTCTCAACCTTAGGAGCCTTGGACCTCACCTGTGAGCCATGGTTTCTGATTGGCCCGGACAGTGATAGCTCTGGTCTCTGTGACATCATCGATGCATTTTGGGATGTAGGCAATGACAGTTTCAGTATATTCCTGAAAGTCTTGGTGTTGTCGTGTGTGGCAGCCTTTTTAAAGATCTCCCAGTCTCTGGTGGAAAAGCAGTCTTGCAGTGCCATCAATTTTGTCTGATTTGGGTAATGTGGGGGGGCTGGTTGACCTTCTGGCCTTTAAATTTTCTTTAATATCTTTAAAATGATAGCGGCACAAACAAAAATTTAGCAGCACAAACGTTTGATACCACTTTTGTTGGTTTTGAAGAAGGTGGGGGGGGGCAACTTCACTCACATGTAACTTAGTATTTTTCTGCTATTTTTTTATTTTTTATTTTTTGCCTTCATTTCTGTTTGTTTCACACGTTAAAGTTTAACCCTCTGCTGTAAAAGGCTGTTGGGGTATTATCATCAAGTTTGTTAATGCAATAACTAAAGAAAGAAAGCAACATAGCAGCTACAGACGCTATCATAGGTGCATCTACTAAAAATCTCATGAGTTCTCGGTGACCGCAACCTCAAGTTCAGAGGTCAAGTTTTCTGAAAACCTTGTGAGAGCGATAATTGAAGAACCCAGCGATGTAGGATTTTCAAGTTGATGCCATCGGCGTGTCTACTAGGCAGAGGAGTAGCACTGGTGATCACCAGTATTTTAATAAATGTTTTCCTCATTGAGGTATGAGTTGCCGGCGCCCTCATCAGGACAGAAGAATGACATTACAGCGTGGCAGGAGTGTGTGAACAACTCGATGGCCCAGCTGGAGCACCAGGCGGTCCGTATCGAGAACCTGGAGCTCATGTCGCATTATGGAACCAACGCATGGAAGGCCTACAACGAGTGCGTACAGTCTCCAGATCCAGTCTGCACAGTGTTGATGTCTGTGGGGAAATACTGCTAACACGTGTCGTGTTTGATTTTTTTTTTTTTCTTCAGCAACTTGGCCTTCATGATCGAGATGGCACAAAAGGAACTTCACAAATTCAGGTGAGTTCATTGCCTCAAACCTTTTGCTCCAAACACGGTGTTTAATGTGTTTTAATATTTATCTGTTGGTGTGTTTGTTCTGCCACACAGGAAGCAAATTCAGGATTTGAACTGGCAGCGTAAGAATGATCAGTTGGCAGCAGGAGCCAAACTCAGAGAGCTGGAGTCTAAGTATGTTGTTGGAAGAGTTTACGTTTGTATCATTGACGCACAGAAGTTTTCCGTCTGTTTTAACATCTGTATTTGTGCCCTCAACAGCTGGGTGTCACTCGTCAGTAAGAACTATGAGATCGAGCGGCAATCGTTCAGCTGGAAAACGAAGTCGCTCAACTCCGGCAACAGCAGGGAGACGAAAACAAGGAGAACATCCGACAAGACTTTTAGGAGCTACTGATCCCGCGGTCGGATTCCATCTTGGCTTGTGAGGCTAACAGGACTAAGAAGCAACCTTAGGACTGAAGTTTTTTTGCCGCGTTCCAAATGCGCCCATGAATCTCAATTTGCAGCACACAGTTTACCACTGTACACCTTATTCCAGTGTAAAAACACGACACAATACATCATCTTTTCACAAACGGAAAGTCGAACACAATAAAACGGCTTTTGTTGCCTCACGTGGTTTGGTAGGACAGGCAGATGAAATATCACATGTGACATTATTTAGTCTGTTGGCTGTAAATGCTAATGATATTATAGCATTAGCGTTTAGTGTTTTGTCACATGAGCTCATTTCGGAAGTTTACATCGACCTGATTCTTCAAGCTCTCTTCCAGCTCAACAGTGTGTTTGGAAAAATGTACATAGTTTGTTGTTTGAAGCCAGACTCATCTTTATGAGCTCCAGCATGACTTCAATTAATGTAATTTTTTAAAGCGGTTTTAATAAATTGAACTTTTCTTATATTGTAGTGTGAATTTGATTGAACTCTTAATATTTCCCTTTCTTTTTTAAACTTGGTCTGATATCCATTATATTTATTCTAATTTAAAATCATAAAACACACCAGTTTCTTCTTTCCTGTGAGGCACAGCAGCCTTGGTTAGCTATATCCTCCTACAAGGGGGCCTTGGTGTGCTCTTTTACACAATACTCTTACAGTTCAGTCTTTCAGTTCATGTACTGTTCAGCTGAAGCTAGTAGCTTTAGCACTTCTCCTGTAAACCAGCTTCCATCTGATTGGCTGCCGCTCACAAACAGAAGAACATCAGGTGAGTTGAGCTGTCTGCCTCAGATGACAATTTTAAGGGGATCTCCACTCACCAATATCACACAGGTAATAGAAAAAAGCTGAAACAGAAACAAATGCAGTCTAAATCTGACCTTTAGGCTCTCAGGGAATACTTGAGTTCATGACAGGAAGTAATTTAATAGCTTCCCTTTTTAAACAGTCAGTGTACACAAGGTTGAAGGAATATTAAACATGAGATTAGGCTAGTTAGTATCCATAATAACATATCAACACGTGCATGTCCCTGTATACTAGACTCGTTTATTGGCAGCAGCTTTACTGAGTGCAAGATCATTTATTACACCTAAGTGCACAAATATCCGGTGACAGACTGTTGTTGGCTAACTAAATTACAGCACTATGCACAAATTAGTGGGATCCTTGACAGTGACACGGGGTGGGAAAATGTCAAGAAACCAAATTAAATACAGGAATTCTGCATTTGCTTTATAATATCGAGAAGCTTCTGTAAAGGCTTCACAGTGTAGTGGTTTACACATTTTGTTAAGAAGCAACAATCTTCAGTATGCTTCTTGGAGGAGAGACAAATGTTGAGGCGTCCCTCAGGAAGATATTGGACCCCCTGTGTCCTCTGATGCACCCGTGTGGGGTTACACAAGTAAAGAGAAAAACTACGCTTGTAGTAAAAGCTCAGAGTAGAAGGTGATGTATAAGTGCAGCACATTTTCTACCCGCTGTGGTGAATAAGGAGCAGCTGTCAGCATCCTTCCTTTGTCTGTTAAAATGATGTAATCATTTCTCTTAATGCCATATTAATTTAAAAAAAAAAAGAAATTCAATACTACCTTTAAACACATTACTTAATGAAAATGTCAGGAACTTACTTTGACTCATAAACCTTTAATTTAAACAGCTCGTCACCTGGATAGTACATAGCGTACTACTGGGTTCACACAGGAATAAAAAAAAGGTAAATCTGATTTATTATTATTTATTGCCACGTTCCTCACACACACTGTGTATAACAATCCTTTCGTCTGCCCCACCCCCCCCAATACTGAATTATTCTTCGATCACAGACAGAACGAACATCAGAATAAATTCAAGTCTGTGGCAAATCAAAAAGCCTGGCTGTGCAAGATTGTCTGTAGTCATGAAAAGCCCGATGTCCAGCATAGAAAGGAGCTAGATAACGTAGTGCTTAAACCACATATGAGCAGCTTCTACATACACCAACACCTGGAATGGATGGAACTAAAGAAAAATCCCAACAGAAATACTGATACTCATGCGTTTTCGCTTGTCTCTTACAACATTCGCCCATCTCTAACACACACACACACCAGTTTGCAGGCACCGTTAAACTCTTTGCAAAGATGCTAGAGGGTTCTCCTTAGGAAAAGTTATCCAATGTGACTGAAATTTTGACTATGTGCAAAACTTTGTGGACAGCCACCGGTAGCAAGAGTAGCAGAAGGTATTTTTGGCCATGCTCCAGTCTATATGCTGAGAGTGTTCAGAGCTGGTACTAAAGTAACAGCGTCTGGCAGGTTTTGGTTCTGGTCCTGGCTTCCTTTACTCTGGAGGAACTTCTGTCGATGCCGCTCCTCCTGACGCTTCTTTTTCTCGAGCCGCTGCTGATCTTTCCTCTGCTTGTTGGAGACCTAGGGGTGAGCGAAAAAAAAAGAAAAAGTCAGTTATCCTCATTGAGTAAAGTTTAAAACTGCTAAAGCATGACCAATGCTGCAAAAAGATATTTCACAAGTTAGGAACACCAATGTGAATCAATTCATGTATAATGTGAAGTATAAAATATTGATTTAGCTAGACAGGCTCTTTATAATGCAAATAATTAGCAGAAATTTGTGTCCACAACCTTGGATTTTTGAACGTTGCTGCCCTCTGCTGTCTGGATGGGATCACTGCAGTGAGCGGCTGCAGCTCTGCAGGCTGAACAGGATCCAGAGGCACACTGGCCCTGGCAGGACTGGCCCACCGCAGAGCCACAAGCCACTCGGCGTTGATTGTCGCTGCACTCAGTTGGAGTAAGTTTTCCTCATCACCTGAGGCAAAAAAGATATAAACATGCAATACAATCAGATCTGTTTCTGTTAGTGTCATACTAAGAGTCTTAGTTCAATGCTGGATGTTTATGTGATCAACACAACTAGCTGTGAAAAAAATCCAAAAGCATTCATGATTCTGATGATTATGTTGCTTTCCCTCACAGAAGTCTACTTGTTCCAACAGCTAATAATTTAAATGTAACTTCTAACCCTGGATCCCTCGATTCTTGATGGAGCTCAGGATCACGTTGTCCTCCTCTGACGCTGAAGGAGAAGACTTTTTGTGCCTGTCTCTCTGACCGTCCCCAAACTCACGCTGCTGTCCATGTGAATCTGCATATTCTGGGAACAACAATGATAAGAAAAACATCAGAAAAAATCTAGTAAAGACGGCTCATTGGGTGCAGTGTTGACATATAAAGACGCATGCTAGATGAGAGCTAACTGTTCTTTAAGTACTGGTTGGTAGGACACCACACCTCTATGCGGAGCTGAGCAGGACTCTCAGAGTTGTCTCCTATCCGTCTCACGCTGTCATAATGGTCTCCATAGCGGTAGGCAATGTGCAGCTCTCGGCACACCTGCTTCTCTGAACCGTTGATCTGCAACAAAAACACAACATATAACAGCGTGGTGTGCACAGAGACATCATATAACAAATTATTAGCGCACAAGATCAGGACATAATTTGAAAGTGTCTGCTCCTACCTCCCACAGTGGAGTGTTGAGCTGATGGATAACCACTTTCACCTGTTGACTGCGAGCAAACGCCACAATGGCATCGTTTCCAGCAAAAGTACCAGGCTGAGAAAGATTGGCCACTGCAAGGAAAAGAAGCACAGAGTTGTTACTGCCACAACTGCTCTCTTGAACTTTCAACACATGACTCTTAAAGTCTGTCTGTTAAAATGACTAAAGCTGTCCTATTGTATATATTACTATTTCCACATTTTTACACTAAAAAAAAAGTAAACTAAGAGATCGTATATTTATTTTGTGACACCCCGTCCCTCCCACAGGCCACTTACATACATCTGTCACTCAGAAGCAATAACCACCAGAGGTCACTGCAAAGTTTCTGGTCAAAACTGCATCCCACTGAACTCAGCTGTCTGTCTGTGCAACTATATTGCCAAAAATATTCCCTCACCTACTGAAATCATGGAATTCAGTTGTTTCAATCACTTCCATGGCCACAGGGTATAATATTCAAGCATGAAGACATGCAGACTGCTTTTACAAAGATTTGTGAAAGAATGGGTTGCTCTCAGGTACTCAGTAAATTTCAGTGTGGTACCGTGATAGGACCTGTGTAACAAGTCCAATCGTGAAATTTCCTCGCTACTAAATATTCCACAGTCGGCGGATGCTGAGGTGCATAGTGCACAGAGGTTGCCAATTTCCTGCAGAGTCAAGCACTACAGACCTCCAAACTTCATGTGGCCTTCAGATTAGCTCAAGAACCATGTGTAGAGCGCTTCATGGAATGGGCCTTCATGGCAGAGCAGCTGGATTCAAGCACAATACACAGTGTTGGATTAAGTGGTGTAAATTGAGCCATCACTGGACTGTGAAGCATTGGAAACAGTTCTCTGGAGTGACGAATCACACTTCTCCATCTGGAAATTTGGTGGATGAGTCTGGGTTTGGCAGTTACCATCAGAACGGTATTTGTCTGACTGCATTACGACAAGTGTAACGTTTGTTGGCGGGGGGTTATGGTGTGGAGTTGTTTTTCAGAAGTTGGGCTTGGCTCTTTACTTACAGTGAAGGGAACTCTTAATGATTCAGCATACCAAGATATTTTGGACAAACTTTGTGGGAACAATTTGGGGATGTTCCATCGTGACTATATAACAATGCATAAAGCAAAGTGCACACAGACGTGGACCTTGCCATGTGTTTTCTTTCTTCCAAGTTTCTCTTCCAAGTTTGGGTTGAAAGAACTTGACTGGCCTGTACAGAGTCCTGATCTCAACTCAACAGAAAACCTGGGATGAATTAGAGTGGAGACTGTGAGCCAGGCCTTCTCGTCCAACATCAGTGTCTGACCTGACAAATGTACTTCTGGAAGAATGGTCAAAAACTGCCATAAACACTTCTAAACTCTTCCCAGAAGAGTTGAAGCTGTTACAGCTGTAAAGGATGTGCTGACACCATTTTAAACACTATGGATTAAGAGTGGGATGTCAGTCAAGTTTGTATAGGTGTGAAGGCAAATACTTTTAGCAATATAGCGTAGGTACCGTTATAGATTGTGGATTGCAAGTTAGAGTAAGTCTAGCTAATCACATTGTTTTCTTGGCATATGTAGCCAATGTTACCCGCTTGCTTGTTTTTTTCTTACAGTGCTGTGCAAAGGGAACGTCATCCTCAACAAAGGGCTCAAAGTCTTGTCGATGGGATGTCATATAATCAACAGTTTCCTGGCGAAGACGCAGGTGGCCCCGGGAGTGACCTCTAACTGGTCGCCTAGAGCTCTGAACAGACAATTCCTAAAGAACAAAAGGAAATGACAAATGACTGCCTGTGGTTGAAGGGTTTAATATACAATCTTTACCAAAATGAAGTTAAAAGTTGTTCGAATTTTTAAATCAAAGAGAGCTGCTCAGCCTTATTTTTTTCCAAGCATTTTTGAGCCCTCATAACTGATTATGTAAAGGATAAAGACAGGGCATTTTTAGAACAGATTAAATACATTTAAGCTCTTTTAAAAACTGCATCCAAAAAAATTAAAAACAAATCCAGGTGCTCCGATCTAAAGCCAGAACTGTTTTTTAAGATATCACCATATGGGATGTGGTGGGCCAAGTTATAGGATATGAACAATCTCCTATTTACCTACATTGTGATACTAAGCCTCATTAACTAGACACGATTCCCTCTGAGTCAAAACTATTTTTAATACAGCAATAAGCTAATGCAACCTACAGACTCAACACTGGTGTTCACATGTTCACATAATAAGTTCACATAATATTTTGATCACTTTGAAATAAATGAGAAATCAGTTTAAGCAGGACCACACAGAGAGAGCAGGTCTGATATTCTGGCTCTTACCCATCTCCAGGGACTTCTCTCAGCTTGAGCCCCAGTGCTTGCAGCTGATTGGAGAAACTGACAAACTCTGCACCTTCATCGCCATCCTGAGGGCGGTTCTTGCGGTCTTTTGCGATGGCCCGGCGCACTGCCCTTTCATCCCTCTTGCGCTCCAATTCACTCTTTTTATTGCTCCGCAAAGATTTGTGCGTCTGTTTCCTCGACATGTTGACTGCACTCGTGTCTGCAGGCCTACAACACCACAGTGCGTCTCCCTGTGGCAGCGAGCAGGCGCTTCATGAAAGACTACCACACGTCTGTAACTTTCTTTTTTTAATGACAGAGAAATAGTAGATTTTTTAAATATTTCAACCAGACGGCATATTAGATCATTCTAGATTTTATATATATATATATATATATATATATATATATATATATATATATATATATATATATATATATATAGTTTCTTGAAGGACATTCAAAGCTCTTCTTTGGGGTTTGTGATCCCACACTGCTTCAATAATGTCCAGGTCTGGGCTCTGGGGAGCCAGTCCATGATTAATAGTGTTCCCTATGTGTTTTTCTATTGACGTATGCTTTTACAGTGCGGCAATATGTTTGGGACCAAAATCTATCGGTTCTGTTATGTGACTGACAAACTTTCAGACAGTCTGACTGTATGAAAGCAAAATAGAAAGAAATGAGGGGTGGCTCAAGACATTTTCACAGTAGTGTACCTTTACTTCAAAAAGGCAGCATAAACTTTTTATTTTCATTTCTTTAATATATATAATATATTATATATATATATATATATATCTGTCAGTATTATCTCAGGTAATTTATGACGTTTTGTGACTTTAATTCTGCCAAATAATATTTTGTT